GCTGTCACAGCAGAGAGGAAATAGGGCTGGGCTTTCACAGCATAGAAAAGAGTAAACCATGGAAAGGAATGGAAGATAAAGCTGGAAAGGGATGCTGGAATTAGATTAAGCATGTATCCTCTGAATTGAACACTAGGCTAAGGTTTTTAATTAGTAGGCAGAGGGAGCAAGGGAAGGTTTTTGTGAAGGGAGACAGGATTAGATCTGGACTTAGATCAGTGTGACTACACAGAGAGAAAAGGGCTGAGGGGAGGTTGCTGCAATTGCCAGGATTAGACAGAATGAGGCCTGAAGTAGGATAGAGGCAGTGAGGATGGTGATGCCTGTCGGGAAGGGGAAGTCCTTGAAATGATGCCCCTCGTGACCTGATGCGTAGTAGGTGCTCAGAAACATTGGCTCCTTCCTTGGGCTTTTGCTCCCTTCCCCCTCTCTCCCCGGTAGCACAGTTCATGTCCGATTTTTCTGGGTCTGGGCCAGGTAGAGCCCAGCTCCGGAATCCCCACCCCGCCATTACCTGCCCATGGCGGCGCGCCGCCTCGTCCCTCACCTGTGCGGGCGCCTCTCAGCTGCTCCCTGTCCTCTGGGCCACGGAGATCCGGGCCCCAGGACCCCACCGCGCGCTCCATCGCCGGTACGCCGCTCTGAGCAAGGGGACAGACACAATTCTACGGTCACACAGCCATGTGCGGACGGCTGCGCCCTGCCGCTGCCCTCTGCCGGCCGGTGCGGGCACCGGGCAGCGTCCAGACCCGAGGTGCGGGGCGCGGCTCCCGGTGACCGCCGCCCGCGCCGCCCGCCTCCCCTGCACCTGCTGCTCCTTCCGGCACTCAGCCTCCTCCTTCCCCTTCAACCGCCGTCGCCGCCGCCACCCCGGCGCCCTCCGGAGCTCTTCGGGGGGGCACCGGTGTCCGAGCCGCCGGCGGCTCGGGGATGCGGGCTCGGCGCCAAACGAGGAGGGGGCTCGGACCCAGGCGTCCCGGGGGCTGCCGCCGGGGGCGGGGACGGGAAGCGGAAGCGCCGGGCGGCACCGAGCCGCTCTAGGACCTTGGAGGAGCTGCACTCCTGTGGCGGCCGCCTGTGTCCTCCGGAGCTCGGTGGCCGGCGGGCGCTGCGTGCCGCGGAGAGGGTTACTCTGAGCCGAGGACAGATGCCCGAACTCGGTGGTTTTAACCGTGTGCCTCCTGGGTTGGAGCTGAGCGAGGAGGGCCGAAGAGCTTCCTAATTGTCGCTGTGTCGGGCCACCCGCGCCGACCCCCGGAGCTGGCCGACAGCGCCAGCCACCCCAGCCCGGAGAGACAAAGAGATCCAAAGACGGACCCAGAGAAAGGGGTGGGGGAAAGACCAAGGCAGACAAAGGGCGGCAGAGGGCGGCGGAGACCCCTGACGGGGCGGGGGCGGGGCGCCGAGACACAGGAAACAAAGCGGGGCTGGTCGGAGAGGCCGGGAGCTGCGGGTGGGGGCTAAGCTGGGGGAGACCAAGGCAGGAACAGAAGCTAGTGGCAGACACCAGAGTGCTGTGGAGAGGCAGCCTGATGGAATTAGACCTGGGCCCCGAGACTCACAAAGTCGTATTTTAAGAGCCCAGAGTGAGAGAGGCTGCAAAAGCGGAGAGACGGAGAGACTGCAGCCGATCAAAAATACAGGAGGAGAAGATTGGCTGCCAGAAACAAAGAGATGCAGAAACAGATAAGAGATATAAAGTGACTGAAACAGAGTCGGAGGAACTGCAAGAAAAGGCAGGGAACCTGGAGAGAAACAGGCCCAGAGGCAGTGGAACAAAGACCAAACAGGCAGAGACAAAGAGACAGACACAAAGAAAGAAGCCCTGAGGAGACTAGGGACAGGTCGACAGCCCTACAAAGGCAAAGCCCAGGAAGAGACTAAAACATGAAACCCTGTTTCCCAGCTTGGTGGGCCCCTGGCTAGGGCTGTGTTGTAGTGGTCCCAGGGGCATGATTCCCCAGTATCTGTACTCTGGGCAAGCTTGCCTTTGGGGAGCAGGTGGGGTGCCTGGAAGTGTCTGAAGCCCATCTAATGATGGAGAAGTGTAACCAAGATTTGTGTATTAATTCACATTTATTAGCGCCTCAGGGTTATGCCAAGAGTTTGATACAGAGGTGAAACACATGTAAGAGTTGTCCTTGGGATGCTACCAGTTTAAAGGGCTAGTATACAAATCATGACAAATAAGAATTGTTGGGGCATTAGAGAGTTACATGTACTGATTCAAGATAGTGTGGGAGAGCAGGAAGAAGCCTAATTTGTGGGAATGAGTCTACATGGTTCTAGGTACCTGGTATGCATGAATGTTAGACACTGATAAACAGGGACCACAAATGAATCAACACATACTTATGAATCACCAACCAATAATTTAGACACTGTCTAAGACCTAGAAATACAAAGAAACCCCTCAGGGAGCTCTCGGCCGGGTAGGAGGTGGGCAGATGATGTGACAGATTCTATACTGACATAATGAAGAAAGATTTGATAAGAATGTAGTGCAGAAAGAGAGAGACCTGGAGAGTTTAGTGGCTGTGGACACTTTTTAAGGTCATTCATGCAGAGTTTGATTCCTGCCCTTGTCATTTGCTACTGTTTAACCTTAGGGAAGTTACTTCTGTTTCCTGAAATGATAATACCCAATTTGAATGGTTGAGGATAATATGTGTAAAGCACTTAGTAAAAAATAGCAGAAATTACTCTTTGGGCTGAAGTAAGCAAGGAAGAAGGTGGCATTTTTGAGCTGGTTGTTTCAGAACAGCTAAGATTTCAGCAAAGTCTGGCTGAAGTGGGCCTTGAATGAAGAACTCTAGACAGGGAATGAAATAAACAGTGGCCCATGCACTCAAGGAAAACCTGCTGTGTGCTGGAAGCTTGGAATCCAAAGATGGTTATGACCTATCCTCAAAGAGGAAAACAGAATAGGTCTGTTTTAATGTGTCATGAGTTTACATAATAGCAAAGTAGTGGAAGCTAAAGATAGGATGGTAAGTTAATCATTTGTTCCACAGACATTTCCTGATGGGTCCAGTGTGTACCAGGCACAAGTGCTGGGAAACAGAGGTAAGAGGGCACCAAATGGCAAAGAGCCAGTCCCTCTTGGAGGAAACCCCCCAAAGACTGGCCAGCCCACATGCCATACTCACTTGTAGAGCTAGCTCTTGAGATGAATCCTGGAGTTACTAGGTCTGAACCTGAACTCAGTTCTAAACATATAGAAGCCCCCCCAGGACTGCCTGGTAGGGCATAGGTAGCTATGAAGATATGATGGTGAGATGAAAAATAACTAATCCAGATGATTATTAAATGGGAAAACTGCTGTCCACCGTACGCTGTCCCATTGGAAACTCAAGAATCTTCCTTTCTCTAAACAGGTCCCAAACCTTATCACATGAATAATTGGGCATAATTTGTTGGGGTTAATAAGCATGTAAATGGAATACTGTGTTACTACTACTAATTCATGTCATCTCTGCACTTAACACAAAGACCAGCCGAGAACCCATTCTGCAGGGTATTTGTTAATATGCACATATACTTTAAATATGTGACTTCCTTTGATTCAGTAATTCCCTGTATAGAGATGAGGCCCAAGGAAATGGTTGGACAAGTGCATAATGATAGCACCACAGACGTATTCATCCCAGCTCAGCACTGTTTATCACAGGGAAGAACTGGCATCAACCCAAATACTAAGCAGCTCTAAAAATGTTAATGCAGATGTGTATTCATGATCATAGAAAGGTGTACAGAATAAAAACAGGTTTCTAAAGTTCCAGTATGATCCTAGTTTTGTGACTATATTTATTCATATGTATAGGCATATGAGAAAATTTAGAAGAATACAAAATCAGAATGAGGTTATATCATGGTACTAATATGAGAGGTAAGTTTTTCTAACCACTTGCATTTGCTAATTTTTCTATGAGACTATGTGTTGGTTATACAGTAAATAAATGATATGCCTGTTTTTTTCATTTTTTATTGAGATGTAATTGATTTACAATATTATGTAAGTTTCAGGTATACAAATAGTGATTCACAAGTTTTAAAATTATGCTCCATTTATAGTTATAAAATATTGGCTATATTTCCTGTGGTGTAAATATATCCTTGCAGCTTATTTATTTTATACCTGGTAGTTTGTATCTCCTAATCCCCTACCCGTTTTACACCTCCCCCTTCCCTCACCCACTGGTAACCACTAGTTTGTTCTCTGTATCTGTGAGTCTGTTTCTTTTTTGTTATATTCACTAGTTTTATTTTTTAGATTCCACACATAAGTGGTAATATACAATGTTTGTCTTTCTCTCTCTGACTTATTTCGCTAAGCATAATACCCTCCCAGGTCAATCCATGTTGTTGCAAATGGGAAAATTTCATTCTTTTTATGGCTAAGTAGTATTCCATTATATATAATTATATGTATTATATAATATATAATGTGATATATATATATCACATCTCCTTTGGACATTCATCTGTTGATGGACACTTAAGTTGCTTCCATGTCTTGGCTATTGTAAATACTGCTGCATGAATATTGGGGTGCATGCATCTTTTCAAATTAGTGTTTTCATTTTCTTCCAGTATATACCCAAGACTGGAATTGCTGGGTTATATGGTAGTTCTGTTTTTAGTTCTTTGCAGAACCTCCGTACTGTTTTCCACAGTGGCTGCAGCAATTTGCATTCCCATCAACAATGTACAAAGGTTCCCTTTTTGCCACATCCTCGCCAACATTTGTTATTTGTGGTCTTTTTGATGATAGCCATTCTGACAGGTGTGTACATGTTATTTTCTTAAAGGTTGTTAAATAATTTAGGGAAGAGCTGATTAGAGCCTGAACTCAGTGCAAGGGCAAAAGGGTGAAGAGTGTAGAGAGGAAGGGACCAATTTTTCTCATTAATAGGAAGGAACTGGAAACTGGATATACTTGAGGAGAGCAAGGGAGGGGGGTGTTCAGAGTTTTAACTAAGTCGGTAGGGCTGCTCAGCCTGATGAGAAATGCAAGAGGAAGGGTTGTGGTGCAGTGGGGAAGGGTATAATTATCCCTCCCTTGGCCTTTCAAAGAACTCTGTTTATCTCATTACACTGTATTTTTAGCACCAGCACTGTGTGTCACATTTACTTGTGGCTGTCTCTGTCTTCCTAGAGGGCAGCAACTGTGACTGATTCATTGTGTCTGGATTCTCAGCAGCTAATCCAGAAGAGCAGTCACTGAGTTGGAGCCAGTGGCACAGTCACACCCCTCAGCTCATGTTATAGCAATAACTAGCAGTCTATGTGAGCTCATCTCCTACGCCAGGTATGAAGGAATGTGTGTCAGGCATATAATCCTCATCATGACCCTGTGAGGTAAAATTATTAATGCTACCATTTAACAGATAAAGAAACTAAGTCATAAGAGGTTAAAGTAAGATGCCCAAATTCACACAGTTAATAGGATCACAGAACTCTTAATCACTGTATGTGTATTATCATATGAAACTTGCACAGATTTTGTGAATTCAGTATGGGAGGAACTTCCAATTCCATTTGATAGATGAGGAAAGTAAGGCCCAGAGAGGTGATTTTCCCAGGGTTACATGAAGGTGGCAGTACTAGAAATGAGGTTGAAGTAAAGATAAGGTAAATGGATGGCAACATGGATGGGTCTTTAAAAATAGTGCTGAATGAAAAGTTAACAGAAATATATATTCATCTCTATATATATTACCATTTGTGTAAACATGTACTGTATACTGTACATTTTTCAAAATATATGCAAATAAAAAAATTACACATTAAGCACATTAGCGTGGTTGCCTTGAAGTGAGGAGGGGAAAGGAGTGAGCCATGAGCCTGTGTTAGTCGCCTCAGGCTGCCATAACAGAATACCACAGACTAGTCTTAAACAACAGGTATTTATTTTCTCATAGTTCTGGAGACTGGAAGTCCAAGATCAAAATGCCAGCAGGGTTCATTTCTGGTGAGGCCTCTTTCCTTGGGGTGCAGACTGCTGCCTTCTCACTGTGTGCTCACATGTACAGAGACAGATTGCCGATGTCTCTTCTTATAAGGACACCAGACCTATCGGATCAGGGCCCCACCCTTATGACCTCATTTAACCTTAATTACCTCTTAAAGGTCCTATCTCCAAATATAATCACATGGGGGGTTAGGGCTCCAACACATGAATTCAAGGCAGGGAGCACAATTCAGTCAATAACGGGCCAAAAGGGAAATAATAAATAGAACCAGGAGGAGTGGAGAAAGGAAATGGGGTTGGAGCAGTAGGCGGGATCCAGATCAAGCAAGACCATAGTAAGAAGACTATCTTTAAAGGCTCAGAGATGTCACTCAGTTAATAAATGCTAAAGCTTAGGTATGTATACAGGGTACAGTGTATATGTATCTGATTGACTCCAAAGCACACATCATCCAAAACCACTCTGAGTCCTGATGAGTGAGTAGAAATGTGTGCATTTCATCTTACTATGAAGAAAATGGAGTTCAGAGAGGTCAAATGACTGGCCCGGGGTCACATACTAAGCAGTAGAGCTGTGGTTTAAAAAATTCTTTCTGACTCCAAAGCAAACCTTCTTTTATGTGTTCTGCAGCCTCCCAGCTTTGTCCCTGACTAACTTCACTCACTCATTTTTCCATGCATTCATTCATCTAGTACATTATTTACTGGCACCTTCTTTGTGTCAGGTGCTGTCCAAGACACTGGGGATACAGAAATTAGGAAGACATGGTCACTGCCCTCAGAAAGCTCAGCTGGGAGTAGAAGAGACAGCCACAGTCTGGTAAGCAAACGTGGGCATTGGAAGGGCCTGTGAAAGGTGCCAGGGGTCCAGAGGATGGAAAAATGACTCTGCCTCGGGTAGGTGGGTAAGATTTCATAGAAGAGGAAGAAGAGCCCTTTGAATCAAATCCTTGAAGGATATTGTGCTGTACACCAGAAATTGACACTACAGTGTAAACTGACTATACCTCAATATAAATAATAAATAAATAAATAAATAAATAAATAAATAAATAAATAAATAAATGCAAAAAAAAAAAATCTTTGAAGGATGAAGAGGAATTCACCTGGTGCAGAAGAAGGAAAAGCTCAGTGTGAGCAGAGCCAAGGATGTGGCACTCACTAAGTGTGAGTGCAGGATGGGGTTATGAGGTCAGATGGGGAAGGCTGCCAGATCAGAACTCAGACTTGATTCAGAGGTCACCGGGAAGCCTCTGAAGGGTTTCGAGCAGGGGAGTACCTTGGCCAGGATCCTGAAGAAAGTTCTCTCTGGTGGTGGTATCCAAAGACCTGAAGTCCTTTAAAGAATCCAATGCATGAGCTGGTGAGGAAAATTGATGGCCCCTCCCACCCACACTCCAATCTTGTTATGGCTTTTGGTCTACTCAGACATTGAAACTTTTTTTTTTTTAAACCATCCCTGTCAAAGCCTTCATCTCACTTGCTAGAGAGACCAACCCGCTTCCTTCCTCTCTGCCAATACCCTCCCCCCTAACAGGGTGATGGGGCTACAATCGGGCTTGGAACAAAGGAATACAGAGAACAGAGGGGTTGAAGCTTTCTAAAGGGGTGATAGGCAAAGGGATCCAGGAAGTGAGGACCCCAGGTATTCTTAGTCTTGGCTCTTCCCACCTCTCTGGGCTGGTTCGAGCATCTCAGCTTCCTACATTGCCCGCCCCCTTGTTTGCTGCTCTCAGCTTCCTGCCCACCAGAGGAAGTGGAGAGAGACAGCAGGTGCAGCGACAGCTATCGGGGCCATGGTGAGTCTTTATGCCCAGGAATCCAGGCATCTATGCTTCCAGCGCCCAACCCCCCAAGGAAGCCAGGCCCACCCAGGTCAACCCACAGTAGGCTGACTTCTCCTAACCCCAAGATCAGGTTGCACTGGGGGCCCTGCCTTCAGCCCTCAGCAGCCTCATATCACGCCCCCCCAACAGGACAAGGAGTATGTGGGTTTCGCCGCCCTCCCCAGTCAGCTGCACCGCAAGTCCGTCAAGAAGGGGTTTGACTTCACACTCATGGTGGCAGGTCTGGGGGTCTGGAAGAGGGGCCTGGCAAGGGGTCCTCAAGAGACCTTGGCTGTCCTCTCACCTGATCAGTTGGTTCTGTCCTGTCCTCAGGAGAGTCAGGCCTGGGAAAATCCACCCTCATCAACAGCCTGTTTCTCACCAACCTCTATGAGGATCGGCAAGTACCAGAGGCCAGTGGTAAGACCGCCCCACCCCATGCTGTCCAGGCACTCTGATCCCTCCTGTGTCCCGAGGCTGCACTCTCTTCCTTCCCATCTGGGTCTCCCGTGATGTTCTGGGGGACTCAGGCAGCTCTCTGATTTTCTCTGAGACCCAGTCTCCTCCACTGAAAAATATGTGGGGGCAACTGAGAGCCTAAGGAAATCAGTCCTGCCTCAGACCCCTACCTAGCTCCCTGATGTCTCCCCATCCTCATAGCCCGCTTGACACAAACCCTGACCATTGAGCGTCGGGGTGTGGAAATCGAGGAGGGAGGTATTAAAGTGAAGCTGACCTTGGTGGACACACCTGGCTTTGGGGACTCAGTGGATTGTTCAGACTGGTAAGGAGTAGGGGAGGGTATGAGGCTCAGCTTCCCAATGTGGCTATTCTGTGGGGACTGAGGGGTTAGATACAGGGCTGGTCTACCCTGGCTGCCCCAACCCTGATCCCAAAGGTGGGGCCCATTTCTGGTGGCCTTGTGGCCCAAAGTACCCATTGCTTTCCGACATCTCACCTGCCAGTTTCCTCTGATGTCTTTGGTTGGAGCCAAAGAAACTACTTCCCACCCCCACAGTCCTGGCTCCCCTGCCCGCTTCCCTGCCTGTGGTCCCTGATCTCCAACTGCCTGCTCTCTCTCCATGCCCCAGCTGGCTGCCCGTGGTGCGCTTCATTGAGGAGCAATTTGAGCAGTATCTTCGGGATGAGAGTGGCCTGAACCGGAAGAACATTCAGGATACCCGTGTCCACTGCTGCCTCTATTTCATCTCACCCTTTGGCCGGGGGTCTGGAGGGCACCCTGGGGGTTGGGGCATTTGGAAGGGATGAGGGGGGATCTCTGTACCTGAGACTGAGATGGGACCAATCCCTGGGTGCAGGCTCCGGCCTCTAGATGTGGCCTTCCTCCGGGCGGTGCACGAGAAAGTCAACATCATCCCGGTCATTGGCAAAGCAGATGCCCTGATGCCTAAGGAAACACAGGCCCTCAAGCAGAAGGTGTGTGTGGTGGCCTCTGACCTTTGGCCCCACATGAAGCCAGAAGTCATGATCAAACCCATACTCAGCTTTTGACTTCTTTGATCTTGGGATAGCCTTTTTGGAGCTTAATGTGTCAGGCTAGATTGTGGGAGGTTTCTGAGAAAGGTGGGTCGTAAGCTGCCTAAGGGAGCCATGTCTCTGGAGGCTCAGAACAGAATCCCTAGACTGGATGCTTGGCTAAGGCCTGTATGAGAGCAGGGACACAGACATGATGACCCCCTTTTATCTCTCTGCCCCGGAGTGCTGACCACCTTCCTAGCCCCAGTGTCTTCAGAGCCCTCTCCCATGTGTCTGCTTATGTTTTTCTCTCCTGGTCTTTTGGTGTCTGCACATCTTAGAAACTTCCCAGGCATCTGTCTTCCCTGTTAGGGTAACTGTTTGTCTCAGTTTTGCATCATCTAGGTCTCTGCCTTTCATTGTCTTCAGATTTTGTTTTTTAGTCATCCTGTATATCCATCTCACCATCTGTGTCTTTCATGTCTTCCTCTGTCTCTACCACCCCCTATCTGTATCTATATCTCACTCTCTGTGGTCATGTAATTTCTGTGGCTCACAGCCTCTGTGTTTCTCACTATCTCTGCATCTGTCTTTTTTAAGATCCGGGACCAGTTGAAGGAGGAGGAGATCAACATCTACCAGTTCCCTGATTGTGACTCTGATGAAGATGAAGACTTCAAGAGGCAGGATGCAGAGATGAAGGTGCAGAGGCAAAGGAGGAAGGGGCAGAGAAGCAGGGGAGGCAGATGTGGAAGTAGGAGGTGAGAAAGAAGTTTCTGCCCAAAGTGGGGCCAAGGATGATTCCCTGACTACTGCCCTCTAGGAAAGCATTCCTTTCGCAGTCGTCGGTTCATGTGAAGTAGTGAGGGATGGCGGGACCCGACCGGTGAGGGGACGACGCTACTCCTGGGGCACCGTGGAGGGTGAGTAAGCCGGGACATGTGTTCTGAGGCCAGCAAGCAGCCCAGGCCGCCTCCAAGTCAGCCACATCCAACATGTGAAGATGGGGCGAGCTCTGGTCCCGGGGGTCCTAGGAGCCGAAAGAGGGGTCCTTGGGCAGCAAACTGCGGACCCTCCGCTACAGCGGTGGCAGGGCTTTGGGGCGACCCGACCCAGCTGATGGGGCTGGACCACAAGCTCCCTGACGCTCGCCGGTCCGCCCCCCAGTGGAGAACCCCCATCACTGCGATTTCCTTAACCTGCGACGGATGCTGGTACAGACACACCTGCAGGACCTGAAGGAGGTGACGCACGATCTGCTCTATGAGGGCTACCGTGCCCGCTGCCTACAGAGCCTGGCCCGGCCCGGGGCGCGTGATCGAGCCAGCCGGAGGTGAGAGCCGGAGCTGACTCCTAGGTGCTTGCAAGGCCCCTCCCTCACCAGCCTTCACTTTCCAGACCTCTCTCCTAGAATCTTTTCTCACCCACTTTGCTTACGGCTTTAAGGCCCTAACCCGAAGGACATGTGTCCACCTTCTGGACCCCAGCCAAAGCCTAGGCTCTGCCTCGCGGCCGTGACCCACAACCGCGCCTCTAGCCCTTGATTGATTCCTGCCCCTTCCCTACACCCCGTAGTAAGCTCTCCCGCCAGAGCGCCACAGAGATCCCTCTGCCCATGCTGCCTCTGGCGGAGACGGAGAAGTTGATCCGCGAGAAAGACGAAGAGGTGAGCAAGCACCTAGCTTCCCCCGCGACTAGGGCCCCAAGCCCTCTTCGAAGTCCCTCTCTGGCCTCGCCCGGTCCCACCGCCTGCAATCTTGCCCTGTACAGCTGCGCCGCATGCAGGAGATGCTGGAGAAGATGCAGGCCCAGATGCAGCAGAGCCAGGCTCAAGGCGAGCAGTCGGACGCTCTCTGAGGCCCCCGCCGGGGCCCTACTTTACCTCACCTCCGCCTTCAGTTCGTCTCTTGTCCGATCCCCGAGCCCCAGGCTGCCTGGCTCCTAATCCCGGAGCCCCGGACTGTAAAGCCCTTCCTTGCAAGGGATTCACCGGCTGACAATTTCTCCCAATCTCGGAGTTTGTAGCCCCGCCTCTGGCTCCGCCCCCGACACCGCCTTGGCCCCGCCCCGTCCACTTCAAGAGCCCGAGCTTCACTTCCAGCCCCTACCCCCCTAACCCTGTTCCACTTCACTGAAGCTGAGACATCAATAAAAACTTAGTTTCTTTGAGGCTTCGCACATCTTCCCTTTCCCAGCGGGAAAAAGTGGCGGGCGTAGCGGATGGAACCGTTCCACCCAGGCTTCTGGGCCACTATTTATTCATTCATTTGCTGGGCACTCGTTTAGAGCCAGCCAGTGTTTCAGTCCAGCCTCCCACCTGAGTCCCGCTCGCACAAATGCACTGAAGGCGCCGCGGATAAGAAACAAGACCAGTACAATTTATTAGGAGTCGGGGTGGGGGAGTCGAACTGGCAGGAAGGCGTTGGCCAGCAGAGGCCAAAGAGAACCCGCTACTCCTGGTCTTTGGCGTCGCCATGCGTGATGACGTAGCAGATGTTCTTGTAATCTACGTTGCCGCCCACGTCGGGGGGGAAGGCCTGCCACATGTTCTTGATCTGGGGAAAAGGTGTCATGGTATCTCCAACTGGTTCTTAGGCCACCCTCCCCCATCCCTCGACGTCTCTTGGGCCCCTCCCCCACTCACCTCTTCCTGGGAGAAGCGGTCACACTGCGTGGTAAGCAACTCCTCCAGGCTGGAGAGAGGCGACATACAGGGATTTGAGATTGGGCTTGGTGAGGCCTTTCCACTACCTCCCATCTCATCCCTATTGCTACTCCCAGTCTCGCCTTGAAAACCGGGCTCACTCTGGATTCCTCATTGGTCTCCCAAACACTCTGGCCTCCCTCCTTTTGCCCTTCCCTATATGTGCTGTGAAAATTTAATCCTTGCCCACTTCCACAGTCCTAATTTCTCCCTTATCCCTGGCAATGCCTAACTCTTTGTAGGATTTAAGGATGCTTTCTGTGTGAGAACAGCTGGAGGGGGTCACTTACAATTTCTTCTTGATGGTGCCCTTCCCCTCAGGGTCCAGGACCTTGAAGGCTCCAGTGATCACATCCTCAGGGTCGGCACCTGGGGGTCAGAGGGCACATGAAGCTGAAGGGTTGCTAAAGGGTCAGTGCCTGAAAGGTCTAGGGAGAGACAGCTAGGGGCTTGGACCCGAGATACTTCATTCACCTTTGAGTTTCTCCCCAAACATGGTCAGGAAGACAGTGAAGTTGATGGGTCCACTGGCTTCCTTCATCATGGCATCTAGCTCCTCATTCTTCACATTCAGACGCCCTGGATTAGGATGGGGGAAGCATGGGCTGGAGTGGGGTCTTGGGGCCAGAGGATGATGCTTCCCATGAATTCACATCATCCCACCCATTTTTCATATGGGTAGACTGAGGCCCAGTGTGGAGCCAGCAGGGCTGGAACACAAGGCTGCTGAATTCCCAGGACTCTGCAGCCTTGAATCTTTACTGGTTGGGTAGGAGGCTCACCCATGGCTGCGAAGGTGTCCCGCAGGTCTTCCTTGTCAATAATGCCATCACGGTTCTGGTCGATTACCGTGAAGGCCTGTGGAGGGCAGGAGTAGGGAGGTTAGGATCCCTATGGCTAGGCTGCAGCATCCTTACCCCAGGCAGATCAGATTCTGGGCCCCTAGCCAGCCACACTCTTACACTCCAAGCAGAGAGGGGAACAAGGAATTCTAAACTCTTTCCCTCCCCCCCAGAACAGGTGCACATTCTGGAGGTGGGTGGGAGGAGGGACAGCAGGGGGTGCCTTTGATCAGCCTTTATTCTCCTTTCTTCCCACACTTACCTCCTTGAACTCCTGGATCTGAGTCTGATCGAACATGGAGAAGACACTGGAGCTTCCGCCCTCTGCTGCTGCCCTTCTTCTGGCCTTCTTGGGTGCCTGAGGGGTTAAGGTGGGGCAGAAGGGTTCATGGGCCAATCCCTACTCCTCTCTGGAGGCAATGGATTAGATTCAGGGTTCTTTGGGTCCATTCTTCTAAAGTAACTTCTGGCTCTAGACTTCCCCTTCCTTAGGACCTCTTTGCTGAGGGGACTTGCTTCAGTTGTAGCCCAAATTCCTATCCATAGCCCTCAAGTCTCCATCCTTCCATCCTAGCCAACAATTGGAACATACCTCCCCGTCTCAGTGCCCTGAGCCTGCCTCCTCAAAGACTTGCTATGTGACCCTGATCCACTCATTCACCTTGTCTGAACGTCTGCTTTCTCATTTATAGAATGGGAGTGGGAATCCTTGCCTGGGTGGTCCCAGGGGGTTTTAGGAAGATGGAGTGCAGGAAGGTACGATGCATGCTTTGAGAGGGTCTGGGTTCCTGTGGGTGGGCAGATTATTCTTGGTTTAGTCCTTCAGGGTATCATTCTGGACATTCCCCTTGGTGATACCAAGAAAAGAAAGATTCATCTTTTTTTCTCTTGCTAACTGGGAACCAGCTACTTTCTTTCAAAGGGTGAGGCTGCCCTGAGGTCTGAGGGATCTGGGCAGGGCTGGGGGATTCTCACTCACCATGTTTTAGGTCTCCTGGGGGCAAGACAGTGGCTCTGGCTGGAAAGGAGCAGAGAGACAGCCTGGGGCGGTCCCTCTGGAGTTATATAGTCCTGCCCCAGGGAGCCCTTAACATACCAGGGTAACCTTAGCCCTGTGGGTGCCCACCCCAAGTACCAAAATAGCCCAGCTCAGGGCCTCTCCTTTCTTGGAGGGCCCGCAGCAGCTGGAGCTCAGGGAGGGAGGGAGGAGGGAGTGGGTCTTGGGATGCATGTCTCACTAGGACTTGGGCAGGAAGGGATGTTCTTTCTTCCTGAAGGGGACTGGAATGTACCAAAGTTCGGAGAGGGTCCAGGCTAAGGCACAGTACTAGGAAAGAGATGAGTGGGGTGGGCCCAGATTAAAACCCAGTAAATTTATTGAGCATTTAGGCTCTGGGCTGTGATTTGTGGGTGCACTTTGGCAAATATAATCTCCCTACCCCATTGTGGAGTTCATAGTCAAGTGTAGGTATATGTAGGTGTAGGGGTAGAGTTTAAAGGTGGGAGGGATCCATCTGGGGAAGCTGAAGGATCAGAAAGTTCTTCTACATCCCCTTCAAGGAGAGGGGGGATTTTATAAGGATATATTTGGAGCATGGAGTCACTAGGTACGAAGAGACTAGACAGCCTGGAGCAGAGAGCCTGCTCTGGGATCTTGGGCTTTTTGCTTCAACTTCCTGGGTCTTTGTTTCCCCCTCTATAAAATGGGGACATAATTCCCATCCCACCCCCGAACTTGTGGATGTGAACGCTATTTCAAAACAGTTAGTGAAGTATAATCATTATAATTAATATTCAGGCCCTGCCTTGGTGGTACTTACAGTCTAGCCGTGGAAATGACACACCAGCTGGACAGGAGTACAGAAGTAGAGGGCATAGCAGCCCTATCCAGGAGTATGGGAATGGATTTATGGAGGCCAGTAGAAGTGAGTCAGGTGAAAGTGGAGGAGCAGGCATGCTAAGCAGAGGGCACAGATGGGCAAAGGCCTGGAAGCGTGAAAGATCAGGAGTGTTTAGCTCACCAGAATTGTGTTGGGCTTGAGCAGAGGATACCAGGGGGTCAGACACAGGAGGGTCTTCAGTGCCAGGCTGAGGCCCTGGAAGCCTTGAAAAAGTTTGAAACAGGAGAAGGACATGGTCTAGTGAGAGTCTATAATCACTTTTTTGGATACCAGTGTGAAAGCTGGAACTCTTAGGAGAGTCAAAGACACCAAGAGAGAAACTAATTGGTCACCTCCTCCTGGGTGGCTGGGATGGGCCAATGGCTTCTCTCTCCAATCTGGGCAAGAACTAGCTAGGTTGATTGTGTGACTTTGAGGTACCCTTTCCCACCCATCTGGGCCTCAGTGTCCCAGTCCATTCCATTCAGTGGAGGTCTGGGGAAACAGTGGCTGAGGAAGCCCCAGGTTTGGCACGGACATTCATCTCCTCCTCCTCCTGCTGCCTCTAGGACCTGATGTCCTGAGGAAGTTGCCTCCTTCCCTCCCCCTCCTCCAGCCTCATGCCAATGCCTCTAAGACATGTTCTTTTCTGGGCACTGGGGTCCAGGCACCTGTTGTCTCTAAGAAGAGAGAAGGAGCCACCCTAAACTTAGCAGCTGCCCTTGGCCTCCTGAACTGCCCCTCCCTGCCTTAGCTGACAGCTGCCTAACCTTATATGGTTACCATGGGGGTCCAGGCTCAGGGAGGAGCCCACTTATTGCTGGGTTCTGGGAGGGGAGGAGAACTCCAAAGAAGGTAATGGGGGAAGTGCTCAGGAAGCTGGAGCCAAATGGAAGGTGAGGAAGTTGAGGAGAAGGAGATCAGAAGCAACATATCTCAGACGCTGGAGTTCACAGGATCTGAGTCTGAGCTTAGAGTGCGGCGCCTCAAAGAACTCAGAAACCAAGAAACTGGGAAGCTGGGAGCTAGGCTTGACTGAAATTTCAGGATGGTGGACTTTGTATGGAAACTGAAGCTCTCCTGAGGCTGAATCTTGAATCCTGGGGCTCCAGGGACTGGGGACCAGAGACAGGAGGGGCTGGTAAAGTCAGGGCTTTGTGTTTGTGGTCTAGGGTAGCCTCTGGAGGAGGGTGCCTGATGAGATTGGGGTCTGTTTTTTTGTTTGTTTGTTTGTTTTTTAGCAGAGAATGAAGAGCACAGAGAGGTGTGTCAATGACAGGGAAGTAGGTGATGGGACGGGCCCTGGATCCCCCAAAGAATAAGAACACAGATATGGGAGTTCATGGTATTGGGAATTCATGGTTTGTGGTCTGGGACCCCAGTAGAATAGGGGAGGTGGGCCACTCAGAGGACGAAGTCCCAGGAATTGTAGCCCAGATTCTGGGGAGGAGCTCAGATAGTTGGGGCTGAAGAGAGGGACTTGGGGTTTGGGATTCCTGCAGGAGATGGCGGATCCAGAGAGATGAGTAGCTTAAAGGATTTTAGGGCTCTGGTTATAGTCGCCTGGGCTTGGAGTGCTGGGGTTGGTTGCGGACCAGGCTGAGACTTAGAGACAGAGTGGAGGTCGAGAGTACTTTATCCGGGCACTGGATCTGTGGTGGGCTTGGGAGTTGAATGGAGAATGGGGACCAAGAAAGGACTCAGGCAGGGCAGCGCGGAGCTCTTATTGGCTAAGGAATACAC